TCAAAGACGAAAAAGGGTTTAAGCATAAAAACAATAAGTGTAATACTGCTTTAAATTGTTGTTGTTTCCCCCAAAAAAAATTTCAAAAGTTTTCTGTTTCTAAATTTTTAAAATGTGCCACTATCCTAGGTTTCGCCCATTTGTCAGTAAGAATTTTTATTCATTTAAAACACAATAAAATGTAATATGCTCACTTATTCTTTTATATATATTTTAATATGTACACGTTCGAATAAGCATGTTTGAATTTTTACATAAATATTGTGTTACACTGAATGACAATGTAACATTATTTCAACCAAATTTTAACATTTTATTCTTCAAAACGTATTTGGAACCTTAAAAGTCGACACTTTACTTGCATCTAATGTGCTTTCTATGGACATAAAATCACTTTTGTAAATTTCTTTTGATGCGGACATCTTAACGTCTTTGACCCACATACAAAGAAACATATGTTTATTTAGCTTTAAAAAAGGTGACAGAAAGCTACACAGTTTTGCGTTCGCAGCTTGCTGGAGAAACCTGCTTCAGCACAGATCTGACTGAGAGCTTCATCTTACCTTGAGCTTCTGGAAGTGTGTGAGCGTCTTGCAGTGTGTGTGTCGAGCCGAAGACTCAAAGTGATAGAACTGATTACAGAGACGACAGAGAAAACCAGCCACAGGCACCACAAAACTCGAGCCTGCCACAGACACGCATCAAATTAATGCACGATCTGAGAAATAATGCTTTTGAAACACATCTGAGAACAAGAGGTTCTAGTGATCGACTGATACCAGCTTTTCAGATGACTGGTGTAATACTCATACATAGATATAGCAACTCAATTAGAGCAAATTCAATTGTTCTTATACATGAACTTTCTGTAGACCGTTTTAAGACTCTCAGAAAACAAGACTTTATATGTTCATTTTGCGTCTTAAGTAAAAGCATTGTGATTTAAGGATGTTTACGTATTTTTTATTGGACATACTGAGGAAAACATTCATTTTTTGCAGTGCATGCAACATTTAATGCCATGAATGCTTTAAGACTTTTTAAGGCCTTAATTTGAAGAAAAGTGAATTAAGAGTTTTATAACCCGCAGAAACCCTGAATAACAGAAATAATATGTGACCCTGGAGCACAAAACCAGTCATAAGGGTCAAATTTTGAAAGTGAGATTTATACATCATCTGTAAGCTGAATAAATACGACAATATTTGGCTTGAGATACAACTATTTGAAAATCTGGAATCTGAGGGTGCAAAAAAATCTAAATATTGAGAAAATCATCTTTAAAGTTGTCCAAATGAAGTTCTTAGCAATGCATATTACTAATCAAAAATTAAGTTTTGATATATTTACGGTAGGAAATTTACAAAATATCTTCATGGAGCATGATCTTTGCTTAATATCCTAATGATTTTTGGCATAAAAGAAAAATGTATAATTTTGACCCATACAATGTATTGTTGGCTATTGCTACAAATATACCCCAGCGACTTAACACTGCTTTTGTGCTCCAGGGTCACAAATGAACAAAAAATCACTCAAAAACATTTGAAGACAAAGTGTCTTCTCATCAAGGCTGCTAGTACAGGTTCTTTTGTAACTTATTTCAAAAAGTGATACATGTAGTGAATCTAGAATATATGACAGTTTCACTTTTTGAAACAAGTTACAAAAATGTAACTTTTTCACGATATTCAAATTTTTTGAGATGCACCTGTATATTTTGTAAGTGACAGAAGGGGAGGAAACCCTGAGGCCTGTGGCAGATGATTACCCACCGTACTCTGTGTCCGAGTCGAACTGCTCGTCTTCGGTCAGATCCTCGAGTGTGACCTCCATCTGCGCAGACAAACCCTCCTGCAGGAGACACACAGAGTCACACCAGCTCAGCATCACACACACACACACACACACACACACACACAGAGAGACATGAAGATCTCGCACCTTCCCGTTCTCCTCTTCCTCTCTCTCGTCGTCGCTGCACTCGCCGTCCTCTTCACCCAGAAACATGTCGGCGTTCATCTGATCCGACTCCTTCCACAGCTGATGCACACAGACGAAACACAGCAGCGTTCCCACTGAGATTACAACCATCACTTTTACACTTTCTGCTCATATTTTGAATTAGATCTTATTTTTAGATTTTCATTTTAGGGCCCTACGAAATCGGTTTTATTTTTTCCCAAATTCCATTTATTTTTTTCAGTTTTAATTTTTCTGGATTCCTTTTTAATGGTTAAATTGAATTTTATTAATCAAAAAGCATGTCTAACTAATTAAAATCATGGAACTTACATAATTTCACATCAATTTATTAAATTAGTGCTGTCAAACGATTAATCGCATCCAAAGTAAAAGTTTTTGTTTACGTAATATATGTGTGTTTACTGTGTATATTTATTATGTATATATAAATACAAACAAACACATGCATGTATATATTTAGAAAATATGTACGTGTATACATTTATATTCTTATATTTTTTATATAAAAAAAGTACACTTCCACAATGTACTTGTGAAACGATTAATCACGATTAATCGCATCCAAAATGAAGGTTTTTGTTGACATACTATATGTGTGTTTACTGTGTATGTTTGTTATGTATATATAAATACAAACAAACACATGCATGTATATATTTAGAAAATATGTACGTGTATACATTTATATTCTTATATTTTTTATATAAATATATTTAATATATAAACATAACATATTTTCTTAAATATATACATGCATGTGTGTGTATTTATATATACATAATAAATATACACAGTAAACACACATATATTACGTAAACAAAAACTTTTATTTTGGATGCGATTAATCGTTTGACAGCACTAATTAAAAGTTTAACAAAAATTACATGTTTAGGGCCCTATTTTATTTTTTCTCACCATATGTTTTATTGTTACCAAATTCTGTTTTAGCATGTCTAATTATTTGAATGCATAAAACAAATGAATTTATTCTCACAATAGCCTTATAAAATGTTTTTATTTTCACTATTACAGTTTCTGTTCATATTTTGAATTAGATCTTATTTTTAGATTTTATGTTTTCATTTTCATTTTAGTTAAAGTTTTAGTCATTTTGTTTTGTGTTTTTGTCATTTTTAAATATCTATATAGTTTTTATTAATTTTTTACTTAGTTTATTGGGTTTTAGTTACTTTAGCACTTCAAATTAAACTAAATGAAAATTAGAAAGTTTGCCTTGGCTACTAGCTAAAATAAAATAAGTTAATTTTTTTAAATAAAATTTTAATAAAAAAAAATACATGTAAATACTTTTTTTTTTTTACTTGAAATAAAACAAACTAACTCAAATAAAATAAAATAAAACAAACACTTCATTTCAGCTAGTTGCCTATGCAACTTTTCTAATTTTAATTTAGTTTAACTAGATGTACTGAAATAATCAAAACGGAAATAAAAATTAATAAAAACCAATTAGACATTAAAAAAAAAAAAAAATGTCCAAAACACACAAGAAACTTAATAAAACTTCAACTAAAATTAAAATGAATGCAGAAATGATATTAAAAAAAAAAAAGATTCAAAATATTAATAAAAACTATAATAGTTACTCAATTATACTAAAAAAACAGTTTTACGTTGAAAAAAAATATCTTGAGTAGGATGTACTTTAAAACAATTTTCACTCAAAAATTGCTCATAAATTTCACAAATAATTCTAAAGAAATGGCAAGTAAAACATCTTTATTTTGACTTTGAAAAATATATATATTAGTGCACTGCATGTACTATAGACAACAATATTAAATGCATTACTCCACATGCAATTTCTGTTCGTTTTTACAAACTAAAGGACAAGTTAAAAATACATTCTGTGGAAATTGCATGTTGCAGATGCCGTACATAAAGATTACACTGCATTGAAGCGAAACATTCGTCCCCAACACTTTTTAATGCATTTCAAGAGTGAAAGATCAATTCTGATTCACGCTATTGCACGACATAATCGATCATCATCTGAACATCACCTGCTCGACTCGCTGCTTGTGCTCCGTCGACTGCATGTGCTCCACAAACTCTCTGTGTGTCCTGAAGTGCAGCTTACAGACGGAGCAGCTGGAGCTGGACGAGCGGATACAGCGCTGTACACACACACACACAAACACGGTTAGACACACACACAGACACACACAGACACAGACACAGACACACACACACACACACACACATACAGACACACACACACACACACACACATACAGACACACACACACACACACACACATACAGACACACACACACACACACACACATACAGACACACACACACACACACACACATACAGACACACACACACACACACACACATACAGACACACACACACACACACACACATACAGACACACACACACACACACACACATACAGACACACACACACACACACACACATACAGACACACACACACACACACACACATACAGACACACACACACACACACACACATACAGACACACACACACACACACACACATACAGACACACACACACACACACACACATACAGACACACACACACACACACACACATACAGACACACACACACACACACACACATACAGACACACACACACACACACACACATACAGACACACACACACACACACACACATACAGACACACACACACACACACACACATACAGACACACACACACACACACACACATACAGACACACACACACACACACACACATACAGACACACACACACACACACACACATACAGACACACACACACACACACACACATACAGACACACACACACACACACACACATACAGACACACACACACACACACACACATACAGACACACACACACACACACACACATACAGACACACACACACACACACACACATACAGACACACACACACACACACACACATACAGACACACACACACACACACACACATACAGACACACACACACACACACACACATACAGACACACACACACACACACACACATACAGACACACACACACACACACACACATACAGACACACACACACACACACACACATACAGACACACACACACACACACAAACACACAAACACACAAACACACACACGAAAACACAAACACACAAACACAAATGCTCAGCTTCATTTCCATCAGCTTGATGTTATGGTTAAACAGAGCTGGGTAGATTACTTACTAAGTTTACTGATTCCAAATTACATGACAAAAACTGTAGTCAGTAAAGTAATCCATTACATTACACATTTTAGGTAATATAATCAGACTACTTTTAGAATCCTTTTGACCTAACTCGTTTTCACCTTGATTTAAATAGGATAATCTTGTACTATATTGATAAAAATACAAAGAGTAAGAAAATCCATTTGTTGCCATCAACAACATAAAAGTGCATTAAACATTACATTACATCAAGGTTTCCCAAACTGGGGTTTGTGAAGGAACTGCAGGGGGTTTGTGAGAGATCATCAGCTCAGCTCCAACAATGAACTGTGTTCCAATTATACACTTTATGTGTATCGACAGACAGATAATTTCACATAGCTATGAGAAGCGTTAAACACGGTTGCCGTGCTGTATTAAAGCTTTAATCAGGATAAAACCGTATATTAGAAGCTAACATAAGCAGCAGCATTTACACATAACAGCGTATCTCAAAGTATGAGACAACAATTAACAAAAAACATACTATTAAGAGCCGTGTGCTTGCACAGGTTCTACGCGATCTTCTTCACTAATATTCTCTGCGTCTCATTCAGGCTCAAATTAATAAGCAATATTGACAACGCCTTTGTTTACAATACAACACTGGAGCACATTCTGAGCTGAGGGGCGTGGCTTTTAGACGCACACTAGAGGCGGTTTAGCCAATCACAACACACTAGGCTAGCTAACCAATCAGAGCCCATCACGTATTTCCGAGGGAGGGGCTTCATAAAAACAGGAACTCGTCAGCATGTTTATCAGAGAACGGACAGAGCGGTATAGAATAAAGGAAAAAATAACAAGTTTTTTTTTTTAAAACGAAGCATTAACATGTTAGACTGCACCCCATAAACACAATCAAGCCTAGAAAAAAAACAGTGAACCACCCCCCTTTAAGATTTTCTCCTAAATCGGCGAGTTATGAGCTACTTAAGATGTTTTGTGAATACGGGCCCTGGTTAGGAATATTTGCCTGTTCACCTTGTGCTCCTTGGTTCTGCGATGCTCCATGACGTTGGTGGTGAAGTGCGTCTGGCAGGTGGAGCACCATCTCTGCAGACCCGGTCTCTTCTCACTGCAACAGCACAGAAAGACGTTCAGAAAGACAGGCGGCGTGAAGCGTGAAAACACACTGATGCATCAATCGCTCTTGCAACATGAGGACAAAAAGGAGCACACTTTCAGTTATGAGTTGTGCGACTTTAAACATAGTGTGTGCATTTCAGGAAAGATAACTGAAATTTTCCTCTTCAACTAAGATCTGCTGTTCATTTTCTGGAATATTAACTAGTAATGCACCAAAACTTTGCCAACCTGAAAAATGCATTTTCAGTGAATGGGTGCCATCAGAATGAGAGTCCAAACAGCTTTGATGGACTGGAGTGCTGTGGATTATTGTGATGTTTTTATCAGCTGTTTGGACTCTCATTCTGACGGCACCCATTCACTGCAGAGCATCTATTGCTGAGACACTGATGCAATGCTACATTTCTACAAATCTGATGAAGAAACAATCTGGGATGGCCCGATTCCCTTAAGCTAGTGAAGCATAAATGCATCAGAAACTCTGACCCGTCTCTGCGAGCTCCTTGCAGGGACTCCTGGACTCGCGGCAGCAGCGTGACGAGACACGCGTTGCTCATGTGCTGGATCTCCATCATCTTCTGCTGGTGCGTCAGTCCGTTCATATGGCTCTGGAAACTCTGCAGTTACATTTACAGTTATGCATTTAACAGACGGGTTCATCCAAAGCGACTTGCAAAAGAGGAACAAACTGCTTTTTATCAGTGAGGGTTATGAAAAGCAACATGATTAATGCAAAGTCTTGCTAATATATCAGGTCATGTAAACAATTAAAGCCGAGCGATATCAGAGGAACATACTTGCTGGTTATGGCAAGTGATGTTGCAAATATAGCAGAAGAACTTGTTGGAGGTCTCTGCCGCTGCGTCTCTGAGCTCCTCAGGAGTGTCTGTGGTCTCCTTGATCTCAGGGACCGAATCGGAGCCTGCGGCGGCGTCTGGACCGTCGCTGATCTGCTGCTCGACGTCTTTATCTGGAGCTTCTGTGCTTTCAACCTGCTGAAGATCAACAAACAAGACACATTCTGACATCAACTGAAGCTTGAGTTCCTCCTTCGGTGTGCATCTGTGTGATTGTTTCAGCTGTTTTATGGTGAAAACAGTGTATCTGGTCACTTAGATCACACAGAGATGATGGTACAAACCTCTGCCGCTTGACTTGGTTCATCCGCTTCAGCATCCAGCGCTCCGTTCACGCTGCCTCCCTCCTGCAGAGAGAGCTCTGAAACACATCAGATCCCTCACTGGAAGAGCATTCACATCACCATACGCTCAGCCATATAGAGCATTATGTGGTGTTCATGTGGTTTTACATGTCACACACGTATTATAGGTAATATATAGTTATTATACACTACCAGTCAAAAGTTTGGGATCAGTAAGACTTTTTAAAGAAGTCTCTTCTGCTCATCAAGGCTGTGTTTATTTGATCAAAAATACAGAAAAAAACAGTAATCTTGCAAAATGTTGTTACAATATAAAATAATGGTTTCTATTTTAATATCCTTTAAAATATAATTTATTTCTGTGATGCAAAGCTGAATTTCCATCAGCCGTTACTCCAGTCTTCAGTGTCACATGATCTTCAAAAATCATTCTAATATGCTGATTTATTATTAGAATTATCAACAAATATATTTTTTGGAAACTGCTATATTTTTTCAGGATTCTTTGATTAATCAAAGTTAAAAAGAACAGCATTTATTCAAAATATGAATCTTTTCTAACAATATAAATCTTTGCTATCACTTCTTAACAATTTAACACATCCTTGCTGAATAAAAGTTTTAATTTCTTTCAAAAAAAGAAAGAATAAAAATGTATTGACCCCAAACTTTTGAATGCTAGTGTATATTGTTAGAAAAGATTTCTATTTTAAATAAATGCTCTTCTTTTTAACTTCTTATTCATCGAAGAATCCTGAAAAAAACTATCACAGCTTCCAAAAAAATATGAAGCAGCACAACTGATAATAAATCAGCATATTAGAATGATTTCTGAAGATCATGTGACACTGAAGACTGGAGTAATGATGATGGAAATTCAGCTTTGCATCACAGAAATACATTAGATTTTAATGTATATTAAAATAGAAAAACGAACAGCTGAATCATACTCAAAAATACTTGAGGCTGTAAAGGTGCTTCAGCTAAGTACTGAGTTATGGGTATGAATACTTATGCAATGTATTTATTTCAGTTTTTTATAAATTCACAAAGTTGTGACAGTTCTGTTTTTGCTTTGTCATTATGGTGTATAGATTGATGTGGAAAAAAAGTAATTTAAAGCAGTTTAACATAAGGGTGCAACATAAAACGTGAAAAAACGAAGGGGTTTGAATACTTTCGCAAGGCACTGTATGTGCAACATTTCTCATTTTCATTTAGTTTAACTTGGTGCGCTACAGTAAGAAATGCAAAAACTGAAAAATAAAACAAACTATATAGACATAGGAAAAAAACTACTAAAATGGCAAAAGGCACAAAAAATTACTAAAACTTTCAAATGAAAATGTAAAATCTAAAAATTAAAAATTAAAAACCAATACTGAAACAACACTATCATTCCTGGTTAGGGCAATTTAACAGGTCAATAACATATTTTTACTGAAAAATTGTTAAAATTAAAATTGACATGCTTTAACATTCCTCCATTGTAATAGCATTACTGCAAATAAAATTTCAAATTTTTTTTTTTTAATGTTTTTAAACAAATGATTTTATCACTGACAGCCGGTCACAGATGTGATGCATGCTGAAAGGCCAGAATATTCTTGAACAGGGTTTAATCAGGTGAACTCCTCCCTACCTTCAGGATCTGGGCTCTTACACTCAGCGCTTTGAGCCGATTCTGTCTCCACAGGCTCCTCTGACCTGCACAAACACACAAAACACATGATTTTCCCATTCAAACACACCAAAAAACGGATCAAATCAGCCTTCATTCTTAATGAAAGAAGTCAGGAGTGATGTGCATAATGAATAGGTCCCAACTAGAAAGTAAATGTTGCCTTTAAGGACATTTCTGACATGAATACAGAGATGTAAAGGCACTGACTCTTGTGTTTTGTGTTTTTTGGCCGCTGGTTCGTCGGGCTGCTCTGAAGACTCCTGACATCCCGGATCTGCTGTTCACATCAAAACACAAATGCTTTATGATTTATGGCCATCAAAACTCTACATATTCTTCAAAAACAATCATTCAAGTCTGAAAAGATAAGATTATAATAGCTCTAAACATTCTATTGCATCTCTTACATTACTTTTTGTTGAATAGTGTTGAAATGTACTTTGTATTTTTACGTTTTTAAACTTCCCAATATAGCACATTTGCAAAAGAAGTGTTATAATCAGAGATATTCTACTTCGCATATATTTATTTAATAAAATATATGAATATATAAATATATTTCCTATATTTTAAACTCATTATGTATTGCATATTTTGTGCATTTGTTTATTTCACATGTTCACTGTATAAAATAAATAGTCTGATTTGATTATTTTATTGGGTGTATGTGGATAGCATATGTTCATGTATTTATTACACAGCACTGCATTAAAAAAAATCTGCTGATATGCAAAAAATATCTAATATACCTAATTTGATGATGCAGAGTTAAAAAATATGAATAAAATTTCCATCATGCCACAAAATAATGAAGATTTGTTTAAACTATATGTATCAGCTTTAATGCACATGTCTCAAGTTTTGATTTTAATGATACAAATGTGTTCAAAATGTATCATTTAACTTACAGTCCTCAAAGGAGTGGAAACATATTTAAACATTACTTAATGTCAAAGAACTTTACAATGAACACAAGTTTATAAATCAGCTTTTCACAAAATCTGTGATTTTCTGTGGATGTTTGGATGCAGTAAATGCAGAAAACATCTGTGTCATGTTTGCATTTTCTTTATTTACTGGCCATAGTTCTAACCTTGAAATCAGGATAAAACAGTAATGTGAAAAAGAACATAAAATAATGTGAAAAAGGTGTGCAAATAGTTGTAATCTGGCTCAGATTCAGACAGGCATCATCATGTCTTTGTGGTGTTTTTCTGCTGATTAAGGGAGAATTCGAGACTTCTTCACCTTACAAATGGTCGTTAAAAGCAAAAATGCATGCGAAGTGCATCATTTGTGACCTGTGCTGTGCAAAATGAGTCACAATGAGCAAATCTGAGTCGACAGATTCAGTCAACAAATTGACTTTTCCAAGCAAAATCACCGAGCAACATTGCATCTTTTCCTCCAGTTCTTTTCTTAACAATAATTATTAAGAATCACAATATAGCCATTTCTTATTTTATCTGTTATTATAAATAAGAACAGACGCAAAAAAAAACAATAGAACAAATATAAGAAACATAATGCATCTCCCTTTTCATTTTACATCTAAACGAAAGCATTCAAGTAAGAAAAACAAATAATCAAATGTAAAAATCACTCTTTAGTGTGTTCATTACATTATTAAAACTACAAAATCATCTCAATCAAGTGCAGCGAATGATTCCTTCTTTACTTTCATCGTTAGATTAACATTAATGAGACAGACGGCCGATATATTAAGACCTACTGTATGCACGGATCTAATATAATGTTACACATCAGATGTTTTTTATGTGAATATTTGAATACTGTAATTCTGTGTATATTTATCGGGAACTCATGCTTTGAATAACAGTCAGTGCGAGAAGCGAGAGGAGACAAACAATGATCATTTTAGATGTTTAATTACTATTTAGAGCATAGGGATCGCTAGAAGAGGGCTTAATGAACTCATTTTTGTGAAAACCTCAAATTCGACATTTTTCACTTTCAGCCCGTGCGCATTCACACTCATTTTGCCAGCACGGGTCACATATTTAGTGAGAAAATGTGACATGCAAGACCACTATTTTTTTGGAATCAGCATCACAAAATTAGTAAGAAACAAGTGTTTCATTCAGCAGATATGTGACCCTGCAGCACAAAAGCAGTCTTAAGTCGCTGGGGTATATTTGTAGCAATAGCCAACAATACATTGTATGGGTCAAAATTATACATTTTTCTTTTATGCCAAAAATCATTAGGATATTAAGTAAAGATCATGTTCCATGAAGATATTTTGTAAATTTCCTACCATAAATATATCAAAACTTAATTTTTGATTAGTAATATGCATTGCTAAGAACTTCATTTGGACAACTTTAAAGAAGATTTTCTCAATATTTAGATTTTTTTGCACCCTCAGATTCCAGATTTTCAAATATTGTCCTATCCTAACAAACCATACATCAATGGAAAGCTCATTTATTCAGCTTTCAGATGATGTATAAATCTCAATTTTGAAAAATTGACCCTTATGACTGGTTTTGTGCTCCAGGGTCACATATGATGCAGGGCTGTATAATGTATAAAAGTTTTTTTTTCAGTGTTTTGTCTAAAACATTCCTTCTTTTCTGTTACGATTACATGATTTCTGTATATATTTGGTTCACGCACAACTGTTACACAATTACCTCTGCTGCTGCTGGCTTCTGATTGGCCGTCGCTGCTGCCCGCAGATCTCTGCTCGTTTTCCCTCTTTCTGTCCGGCTGACGAGCCTGAAACTCCTGTGTGCGTTCAGTTAGCAAGAGAGCCACAGATTTACCAAACACAGCGGGTAAAATAAGCATTGAACACGTCACCATTTTTCTCAGTAACTATATTTCTAAAGGTGCTGTCGACATGAAATTCTCACCACATGTCGGTAACAACCCAACTAATCCATACATAGAAATAAAACAAAACAAATAAGTTCAGAAATTAAGTTCTGTGTAATAAAATGGAATGACACAGGGACAAAGTATTGAACACGCTTAATGAAATGTATTTAATACTTTGTTGGTAATGACAGCTGTCTGGAGAAACTAGTCACATGCATTGCTCAGGTGTGATTTTGGCCCATTCTTCCACACAAACAGTCTTCAAATCTTGGAGGTTCTGTGGGACTCTTCTATGAACTCTTGACCTTTAGTTCTTATTTAATATGGGAATCAAGTCAGGTGATTGGCTGGCCATTCTAGCAGCTTTATTTTCTTTCTCTGCCTTACTATGTATATGGAATAACCGTTTTATAAAAGCAATAAGCCCCGTGAAGCCGTGGTTTACAGTGATTTTATAACAGCTAAGGGGCGTTGTTCGCGGAGTGCCTAAAACCCTCTTAGCTGTTATAAATTCACTGTAAACCACGGCTTCACGGGGCTTATTGCTTTTATAAAACGGTTATTACATATACGTAGTAAGGTTTCACAAAATAAAACAGAGCAAATAAAGTGTAATGATATTAATAAAAACAGTATTCTTCCACCAAACAATGTAGCTCCTCAGAAACAGTTGTGGTTGCTACAAAGTGGTTGCCGAGCAACAGACAAACGTAAACAAAGGAGTATGTTACTTTGTAGAGTCATTTACAACAGCTTTGAACTCGGCTCAGCCAATCAGAATCAAGCACCGGAACTATCTGTTTTATAAACTTATTTTACCCGCTGTATATGCCATAATATATTATTTATTTGTTTAAAAGTGTTGTATGTCAGAAAAAAATTCAAATGCACAATCCATACCCAGCTGATGGAAAAAAAGTTGAACACACACACTCACATTGGTGAAATAGCGCGTGTGAGGCTTGAAGTGCCGCGGGAATCCCATGTGAGGGGTTTTGATGGCGACTCCCATCGGAATGGGCCCCAGAAGAGACGCTCTGGAGCCCGCAGTGAAGAACTGAGGAAACTGCTGGCCTCCCATCGCAAAGCCACGCATGCCGCCCGCTTCACACAGGACCAAAAACACCAATATAACAGTCAATACAACACAGGGGGAAGACAAGAGCTGAAACATACCAAACTCATGTCTAGAGCATTTCCCTGACCCTAAAATCACAAAAATAAACTTAGATTTTGGAATAAATAACTGTATTAGAGATATGAGAATCACTACAAAGAATAATGTGAATTACAAATAAATTCAAAAACAAAATGTCTGGATGCCTTGCAGAAATGCTACAAATAAAAAATTACTTCCTGGAATATTTTACATTTATTTTATGCATTATTAATGTGTAATTGTCTCTAAATAAATAAATAAATGAACAAATACATAAATAAAGGTTTTAGAAAGAAGCTTAAAATTAGCTTTGATTTCGAGGTGAAACCAATTATATTTACTTGATAACATATTACTAATTATATAGTGCATCTATGTATCTAATGTAGGTTATCAAGAGAGTACTACTTGAAAAGAAAAAAAAAGTCAAGGAAACTTGTTTTGTCAATATCAGAGCTATTACATTAACTAAAAATATGACTTTTAATTCCTTGAAATGAAATAAATCTAAAATTTTAAATATACAAAACTTTTTTGTTTAGCTAGTTGAGAAGTCAACATTTTCATTTATATTTTTGTTTAATTAAAAAAAAAAAAAAACTAAAATTAATAAATAAATAATATTTTAAAACGCATTATGGAATGAACAAAATTACTCAAAATTCACCTAACATTAAAAACATAATATACAAATAAAATCTAATTCAAAATACTAACAAAAACTTTCATAGAATATCAATACTACTAATTTAACAAGGGTCAAATATAAGGGTCAATTGAAATAAGGGAAATTTAGATTTATAAGCTTTGAATACATAATCTTTCCATTGATGTATGGTTTGTTAGGATCGGACAATATTTGAAAATCTGGAATCTAGGGTGCAAAAAAATCTAAATATTGAGAAAATCATCTTTAAAGTTGTTCAAATGAAGTTCTTAGCAATGCATATTACTAATCAAAAATTAAGTTTTGATATATTTACGGTAGGAAACTTACTAAATATCTTCATGGAACATGATCTTTACTTAATATCCTAATGATTTTTGGCATAAAAGAAAAATGTATAATTTTGACCCATACAATGTATTGTTGGCTATTGCTACAAATATACCCCAGCGACTTAAGACTGCTTTTGTGCTGCAGGCTCACATACAGTGCGTGCTATATTAGGAAGCATGAGTTTACCCTGCATCTGCTGCATGAGCAGCGCCCCCTGCAGCATGGGGTTGGGAGCGATGATGGCCTGCGTGGCTGAGCACAGGTTGACCATGCGAGCAGAAGCAGGAGAAGCCATGGGCCTGAAAAACACAAACACAGCGCAGATAATAAAGAGTAAGAGATTTGGAGCGCACTGGTGGAGAGTGTGAAGAAAGCGGAGGGTCTGAGGTTAAATGTGTACCGTGTGTGTGTGATGTGACGGGCGGGCGGAGGCTGCGGTGGAAGAGGAGGAGGAGGAGGAGGAGGAGGCGTCTGCTGCTGAAACAGCTGCTGAAGCTGCCGCAGATGCTGATGAAACTGCTGCTGCTGCTGCTGCTGCTGCTGCTGCTGCTGGTGAGGGTTAAACATGCTGACGAGACTCACTGCAGCGAGAGAAAACACACACATAACACACTTTAACATGTACACAACACTACATTCCTGCATTTAATAGATGCTTTTATCCAAAGAGGAGCAAAGTGAATGATACATTAATAAATGTAAAACGATTGATCAATAGACTATTTTTCATTGTAACATATTACTTATGACTAGAACACGATATGATGTCAACATCGATTATGGAAGCCCATTTCCAAAACAGAATTAAAAAATAAATTTATTGCACAATTGTGTGTTTACGTCTCTCAATTCTGGCTTTTTTGGTGCAAGATATAAACACAGGTAACACTTTACTTAAAGCCTTTATGCATTTTAAAGGGGTATTATTAAAGAGTATAATGCAGCATTATAATTATTCATAATGTGCGTTGTAATACATAACATCTTGTCATTAATAATTATAATGGAATTTAAAATGCAAAGTGTAACCATAAATTGATAAGTGTTATAATGTATTAACTGTGGTATTCATGAGATTGGGAATGCATTATAAGGTGCATTACAAGCCATAATTAATGCATTAAAACACTTTTATAATGCGTTATGCATAAAGGCTTCAAGTAAAGCGTCAGAATTGTGATATAGACTCAATCGTTTTCGTCTTGCGATTGTTTTTTGTTTTCGCCACAGAATAAAAAATAAAAAAGGTGATTATGACTTTTTATCTCACAATTCTGACTTTTCCCCTGGCTATCTTGTGTTTTTATCTGTTATATCGTGTCAGTTTCTGTCAGAATTGCGAGAAAGAAAGAAAAAACACCTAAAAACTCACAAGGACCTTTTATATTTTTATTCTGTGGCAGAAACGGGCTTCCATACATTTGGCATATTTGCATATATAACGTTATATATATATAGTAATATTAAAAAAATCAGTTCTGACAGATCAAAACAATACAACAGCATAAAAAATCCGATGAATTCAATGAAGTAGACTAGACTAAGCAGATTTTGACTGATTTCTAGTGAACTAGACGAAAGAGACACAAAGCAACCCACAACAACAACAGCTCGCCAGTCTGTCCGTGTCTCAATCCTCGTCGCCTACACAGACAGCAGCATTTACAGCACCCTAAACGCGTGAACCTGCATTTAATCAATCAAATGCGGTTATCCCCGAAAGACGCTGTCTAGATAGGCCCCTCGGCAGGCTTTAGGACAGAGCCGTAATCTTTATCTGTGCTATCCGCTAAGAGCTAGCAGTCAATAAACACGACAACACCAGCGAGCCCCCGCAAACCTCCCTCATTATGCTCATATTCTGAACCCTGGCGTCTGTTGATCTGCAGATGAAAAGCTACTCACGAACTCCGCCGACGGGATTTTGAGTTTAATCGCGGAGAAGCGAGCGACAGCTTGTTGAAACTTCCTCTGTCACGTTAGCGGCGCTAACGCTAACACACTCTCGCCGGTCTGAGCGCGAACAAAGCGAGACACACAGCGCCCCCTGCAGCACTGGAGGAGCGACGGCGCGTCACAGCCAGCACACTACAGTCCATGTCTAGCTACATTTATTTGTTTATCATATTGTGTTCAGTGTATCTGTTCCCTCCTGCTGGAATAACCTGCTTAACTCAATCCGAGCAGCCGAGTCTTTAGCCATCTTCCAGAATCGGCAAAAAACACATCTATTCCATCTTTATTTGACCCTCTAACTCTAGCACTCTCTATTCTAATTCTATTTGTTTTCTTTTTTTTTTTAAAAGGCCTCTAACACTAGCTTTCTCTATTTTTTTTTCTATTCTATACTTGTTTTTTTGTTATATGTATATGTATGTATAATGTATGCACAGTATATATATATATATATTTATTTGTGTGTGTGTGCGTGCGTGCGTGCGTGTGAGTGTCTCTCTCTGTGTGTGTGTGTCTCTGTGTGTGTGTGTCTCTCTGTGTGTGTGTGTGTCTGTGTGTGTGTGTCTCTCTGTGTGTGTGTGTGTGTGTGTGCGTCTCTCTGTGTGTGTGTGTGTGTGTGTGTGTGTGTGTGTGTGTGTGTGTCTGTGTGTGTGTGTCTCTCTGTGTGTGTGTGTCTCTCTGTGTGTGTGTGTGTCTCTGTTATATCTGTGTCATCTATCTAAAGGTCATTGTTCTAGAAGTCTTATGGTTTGTTCAGATGCAACTTTGCAAACCTGAACCGTGCTGCCATGCTTTTCTCAGATAGAAGAGGCTTTCCTCTGGCAGGCCTTCCAAACATGCCATACTTGTCTCATATTTTTCTAACTGTACTGTCATGAACTTTATAATTTAACATGTTAACTGAGGACTGTGGAGTCTGCGGTGAAGCTCTTGGGTCGTCTGCCATTCTTCTGAGCGTTACACGGTCTGATGTTGGGGTGAATTCCTGTGTTAACAGTAAGAGTGTCCTAACTTTGTCACACATGGCTGTTCCATTTTGGCTTTATTTTTGTTAAATAAATAATGACACGGTGTGATATGATAATATATAAAACAATTACAAATAAATAGATTAAAATGAAAAATAATTAAACAAACAAATAAATACGCTTTCATCCTACCACAGAAAGGAAATTATATGAAACTACTTTAGTTTTTTCTCAGCTGCATATACACATTTTCAAAACTTTGCCTCTTTTTTCCAAACTTTTCACACAAATCAAAGAATTGCGCACAAAATGCAAAACGCCTCACATCTCTTGCAAAATGAAGCACTGCGTTCAAAACATCACAAACACATCTCAAAAGCAAACATTTGCAAAAACCTTTGCCATAATATTAATTTCTGTTAGATTTTGAGTGTGTGTTACACAGAGACTTGTGTTGTGTTTTGCAAAAAGTGTTTTATGAAATTGAAAAGAGTTGAGTCAAAGGCTGAGTATTAGTGTCTGGTTTTGTAGATTTGGTGTGTGCTTCTGCTGTTCGAGTGTCAGCTTTCAGAAACTGTGAGACAAGGAAATATTTAGCGTGTAAGCAGTTGAAAAAAAGCTGTAACTTAAACCCATTCAGACCTGAATTTTGTTCACTGAACAAAAAATGTTTTATCCACTTGATATTTGCTCTTCTCCAATATAGAAATAAGTCTTAAAAAACAAGATTTGTGCCAACTCATTTTTTTATTAGATTTTTTTCATGTCCACTATAATGGACACCAGGACTGAAGAAAAATAAAAATCCCCATATTTTAACCATACATAATAAGTAGAGCTTGTGCACGATAGTTGAACTAGTGTTCAAGATTTTGAAAAGAACACATACTATAAGAATGAACAATGCAGTAAGAATGTGGTAAAAAGATGATATGAAGCCTCAAAAAAACAGTTTGATCCTTTTTGTTGGTTGAAGTGGGTGAATCTGAGTATATGCATAAATGTCTTTGTGTGCATGTGAATGGGTTTATGTACTTGCTGATTGTTTTGATGAATATATGATTGTGTGCATTATAGCATCAAGACATCAGTGTGTGTGTGTTGCAGTGTATTCACTGATCTCACATCCACTAGAGCTGTTTCTCACTAAAACCAATGAAAGTTGATTGACAGGCTATGGTCACTTTGATTAATTTCAGTAATTAACATCAATGTTCATAAAACAGAACATTAGAATAGCTCTGCATTTAGCTTTCAAATACTTCCACAAGTTTCTCAAACGGTTATACAACTAATTCTTGAGGTGCTGTCTGGTAAGATATCTGTACTTTTACTTGAGTATGGCTTTCAGGTACTTTATACACCACTGCAAATTTCTCAACCTGTTATACAACTAATTCATAAGGTGCTGCTGATATCTTTCAAGACCTGATGTCCATTGCGATGGACATTAAATAAATAAATAAAAATCCTGTGTTCTGCTTGTCTAGCTGGTGAGTCATGTCTCTCTGTTGTGATGCCTGTAGCTCAATCAGATTAAGTTAGGAGTCATGTCTTCATTGTGATTGGTTGATCAGGGACCAATCAGTGACCAGGCATTGCTCATATCATGAAAAAAAATCATGTGATGTCCATTTCAATGGAGGCAGGGTCCGAAGGGGTTAAAAAGTGCGCCGCCTAGCGACAAGAGAAAAGCGGCTCATCGGTCAACCGAATGCAGGACGCGTTCTCCGCCATCGGTCAGAACGCGAACCTGGACCTGCCGCAGATCGCGGTGGTGGGCGGACAGAGCGCCGGGAAAAGCTCCGTGCTCGAGAACTTCGTGGGGAAGTGAGTCCTTCATTTATTAAAACACACACAATAATCGTTAATACACCATAATAATAACGCGTACGGCAAATGCACGCAGCATTAATCTTATATTCCGGCTCGGTCGCAACCCCCATCATGCCTTAATGATATGTAAAGGTCATCGTGAGGATCCTGATAATAACCTTTAAATGTTATTGAGACATGATGGAGCAATGGTGAAAATCACCAGCCGTGTTCACAACAACAACTGAATCCTCCTCATTTATAGTGCATCATCATCATCACCATTAGTGTGTCCTTTAATAACAGTAATAATAATGCACAAGGTCATTAAGGTGAAACCCCATATAAACACTGTAAGCTCTGGTTCTGTGAAGAAAGAGCGTGAAACATGGATGCTGCTGGGATGATGTTTACTAGAGTTGGGAGACCTCTTCTGATACACACATCTCTGATGCTGATGCTTCAATAGAACACAGCACTTAAAATATTAAATACAAACTGCATTCCTTATTAGTAGTTTGCTAAATCAGTCACGGTTTCATTTGATCAAATGTTTTAAAGTCTTAAAGTTGAGTGTGTGAGTGCAGCGTTTGGTGAAGTTCAGACAGGAATAATTGCTCAAAGAGTGTGTTTTGTTGTTAATTAGTGATCAGACGCACCAGAAACCTGCTGAAAGAATCTCACACCGAAGGACTCCAGCAACCCAGAACATCTTAATAAACGCCCCGGCAACCCAGAACATCTTAATAAACATCTAGAAACACCCCGGCAACCCAGAACATCTTAATAAACATCTAGAACATCTTCGTAAACGTCTAGAAACACCCCGGCAACCCAGAACATCTTAATAAACATCTAGAAACACCCCGGCAACCCAGAACATCTTCGTAAACATCTAGAAATACCCCGGCAACCCAGAACATCTTCGTAAACG